GGCATTTGTTCATGTGGATCTCTAGCTTGCACTGTTCAACACAGGAGCCACTGGATGAGGAAGCCAGAGCGAATGTTCTATCCAATACTAGAATTGCACACGGCGGGTGACACTGTTCTTTCTTCACAGACAGATTGTGTGCTTATCAACAGCATCCACAGATGGATTAGTATTTCTCCACGATTCCATCATTATAGCTTTGGCTATGTTGCTTTATTTAATAGGGATTGCTTGCTCCATCTGTATATTTCTTGGCTTTTGTGACACCGACATATTGTTTATGAACTTTGCTCATAGGGCATTCTGGCTTTGGATGCTAGGCTAAAAATCTACTGTATATAATACAATGGTAAAAGCTGTACAGACAAGGCGTGTCCATACTGTTATAAAGCCGAACTGCTGTGCCCATGATAATTGCTTTTTTTGCCCAGCAGTGACCAAATAGGAATTGCAACAAATATTTACCTTTATGCAAATACTAGTGGCGCTACTGTTGGCACTTGTGGCTGTTCAGCACACTATAGCCTGCCGATTTGAAGACTGTTCATCCATAGTCAAGAGGAACATTTACATGATTGTGATAGAAATCTACTTATGGATATAAACTAGCCCTAGATAGATATACACTATGTTGCCAATAGTATTGGGACGCCGGCCTTTACACGCACATGAACTTTAATGGCATCCCAGTCTTAGTCCATAGGGTTCAATATTGAGTTGGCCCATCCTTTGCAGCTATAACAGCTTCAACTCTTCTGGGAAGGCGTCCACAGGGTTTAGGAGTGTGTCTATGGGAATGTTTGACCATTCTTCCAGAAGCGCATTTGTGAGGTCAGGTACTGATGTTGGGCGAGAGAGTCTGGCTCGCAGGCTCCGCTCTAATTCATCCCAAAGGTGTTCTATTGGGTTCAGGTGCGGGCCAGTCAAGTGCCCACACCCCAAACTTCATCCATGCCTTTATGAACCCTGCTTTGTGCACTGGTGCACAGTCATGTTGGAACAGGAAGAGGCCATCCCCAAACTGTTCCCAAAAAGTGGGGAGCATGAAATTGTCAAAAATGTCTTGGTATGCTGATGCCTTAAGAGTTCCCTTCAATGGAACTAAGGGGCCAAGTCCAACCGCTGAAAAACAACCTCACACCATAATCCCCCTCCCCCAAACTTTACACTTGGCACAAGGCAGTCAGGCAAGTACCGTTCTCCTGGCAACCTCCAAACCCAGACACGTCCATCGGATTTCCAGACAGAGAAGCGTGATTCGTCACTCCAGAGACCACGTTTCCAATTCTCTAGAGTCCGGTGGTGGCGGACGGCACTTTGCATTGCACTTGGTGCATCCGGCACTTTGCATTGCACTTGGTGATGTAAAGTTTGGAGGTCTGTAGGCATTGACTCGGCAGACAGTTAGTGACTTCTGCGCACTGTGCGCTTCAGCATGTGCTGAGCGCGCTCTGTAGTTTTACGTGGCCTACCACTTCGTGGCTGAGTTGCCGTTGTTCCCAATTGCTTCCACTTTGTTATAATACCACTAACAGTTAACCGTGGAATATTTAGTAGCAAGGAAATTTCATGGAACACCTGAATCCAATGATTTGGAGGGGTGTCCCAATACTTTTGGCAATATAGTGTATATACTTTAAGGAGGAACTCTACCATTTACAGTTTGGATATGCATGTGAATGCTCTATGGTGTTCAGCTATAAAGCTAGCTGTTAATTCAAGGAGCTTAGTAAGCTTTAGGAGCTACCACTGCCAACTTTTTTTATTTTAGAGGTACAAACCCTGAGGCTGTCATCACGATCCAGGCTTCAGTACCTAGTGGATCGCCTACAGTACAAGGTTGGGGTTTAGACTTCTCTACTAGGTAAGCTACTATATATCAGCTTCCCAGCTTAAAATTAACCAAACTATAAGCAACTGGTGATGCCTGCATGTGCAAAAACAATAAAACAGACTGCATCAGAACACTACTGCACTGAGCATGTAGGATACCAAAGTAAAATGTTTCCATTGTTTTCCAGTAGCTAGGGAACCGAAAACATTTTGCCATTTTATCAGTTCAGATGTGCTAATATACTGCCAAACACTAAAAAGGTCAGACACTTCCAACAATGACTGTTTTTCCATATATATTATTCGGGAATAGATCGGTCTCAAATTTCTCTTTGAAGTTGTTATACATGACTCTTGCACATTTTCTAAACATAGATGTCTATTCATTCGTTATGAAGCAACTGAAGGACCCATATAGGAAAAGAACTCCAAAATATTCCCTGAATGTTCACTGAATACCTATTCCAACCACTCACAATGGCCTCTAACCCCAGTCTCTGACCACAAGGGTCGCCAGTCTGTCTGGAAACACTCATATAATGAGGGCATGAAACGTGCTGATGTTATGATGGTTGATGACGCTGCTAAGGAAACTCCTGAGTAGATATAGGCCTATACTCCCTGAGCTGTGCTACATACTACTCCTACATTTCCTAGGTGGCACAGTTAATTAGTGTGATATCAGTAGTGAGGCTGGCATGTCAAAACTTGGTTTTAGGAAAGTGATGACAAGAAGAGAATTCCCTCATTAAGTATGCATACTGGCACTCTGCTTCCCTTTGGCATCTTGTATTACTACACAAATCAGTGAGTGCATTTATAATACAGCTTCCTAGCACACTCCATGAATAATATATAAATATCAGATCCACGATATTGTCATACTGAAATTCCTCATAACAACACCTTAAACTACATAGGCATCAGATCCACATTAAGCACATTCCCACAACAACAAAAACCAAAAGCAATCTTAGTTTCACATCTACAAGACTGCATGTAAATGATGGCTGCTTGGGACATCTAAGTTCAGTAGAGGAGTGGGGTGAAGCTGATGTATTTACATTATACAGGTCTATGAATACTTGGGAACTGGCCGGAACTGACCCAGCAAAACAAGAATGTCAAACCAGTTGCCAGGTCTTTGCCGTTATTAATGAAATAATCTGGAACAGCCTGTAAACAATGCCCATGTGACGTCTTTCTAGTGAATCTTGCACGCTGCCCTGCTTGTCTGATGCACTGTTGCAGAGATGAGGAAGGGATGCACTGTGTGTAGCTGCTGGCAGGCTGAAGAGCGGGATAATCTAGTGGCGGACAGAGGCAACCAGAGGTCTCTGGGAAATGTAGTTGGGGTGGATGCAGGTTGTACTGTTCAGTTAGAAACCTGAACACTTTGGAGTGCAAACACTGGTGGCCCTTCCTGATTTGGGTAAGCGGTAGTAAGGTGAGAGCTCAGCTGACGAAACCTATCGTGGTGTCTGCAGCCCAGAAGATAGCCATATAGTTTGCAAGTGGAGGGTCTGGGCTGGCCAGCAAGGAACTTAGGATCCCCAAAACATTATATATATATTGTATATACACCCATATAAAAAAGTGTACAGTCCGTATTGTGATACTATGATATACAATGGGTGTGTGAAGAGAGTTTTATGCTGTAACTTCTGATTATTGATGCTTTTAAGGCATAACATTGGACTGATGATTTACCTTTGTACCTGATGAAGGATGGATATGCCTGAAACTGTATTACATGCTGTACACTTTCTTTGTACAGGTAAAAAGAGATTAAGCAAGGTACTTGTAGTGCGGTACCCCTTTACTAGGATTTATGCATATAGAGTGGAGCCTATCGGTATTCCAGCACCCAGCATTGAATGTAAGAAAAGCACAGACATCTCTCTCCTCTGGGTTATGTATAACATGTATTTCTTTTTCTATTCTTAACACTTTTTTTCTTCATGAGGGGGGTCTGAATCTTGTCAATGGAGACCAGATCCCCCATACAGCAGCAGATCACTTTTACTAGTGATCCACTGCTGCAGAGAGAGGCTGGAAAGAGCTTCAACAGCTCTGCCTGAGCCTTTGTACTGGCAGGTAGTGCTGAGACAACACTTGTGATGTCACTACACGCCTGATGTAAACATAGTGCTGATTTAGCAGGTTCCACTTATTTCATCTCCTGGTAAACACCCCCCATGGCCACACAGACAACAATATTGGCTTGACAGGTCCAAAACCTTCCTCACCCATTCTCCTAAAAAAGTTCTTCCACTGTGTCCCACTAGGAGGGAGGGAATATCTCCCTAAAAGGTATAAAGAAAAACACTGGAATCCTTTGGCCATGTCACACAAGGATCATACAACAAACACTTACCTGCTTTAATAGCGTCGCTCCTTCCCCAGCCAGACCAAAGATATGTTACTTCCTTGCTGCTCCCTCACTAGCAAGAGAGATTCAGTAGTGTTCCAGGCCAGCAACGGCGCAATTTCAGCCTTTCCTGGGTGATTCTGCTGCTGACGTTGTGTTGCCAGAAGCAGTATCGCCCATATCACATCAACTTTAAAGCTGACCTCCAGGCAAACTGGCAAATAAACAGATGAAATACTTACAGGAATGAGGGAGCTGTTTAGCCTACCGTGGGTTTTTATTTCTGCCCATCCAGTTCTGAGGTGTACACAGTTCTGCCATGCCACGCCACACAGCGGAGCTCTGTCTGGCAGGAGAGGAGGCCGGATTTTACTCTGTTGCTTTTCAGTAACACTTACAGGCCTCCTCCCTCAGCCTGTGACTGGACAATGAAACAAAAAGCAATACATTTATGAGCTCATCTCTCTGCCACCCTCCTCTCTCCTGCTACCAGCATGCTTCTTCCACTGCAGCACAACTGGTTAGCTTCTTGTCTTGCTTCTCTCTCCCCAAGTCTGACCTCTGCTGTAAGGGGACAGCAAGAAGCTGATACCTAGTCAAATTCAGCAAACAACACTGCATGTATCTAAAAAAGTAATTTAAGCATGAATTAATGAATACAGAGCTGCATTAATTTGTGTCTTTTATATCTGCCTCAAAGTGCAGCTTTAATTAGATTAATTAACGAGTATACGTCAGATTGCTGAAACACATGCAACAGTGGATGGTTATAGCAAATATCAGACCCTGGACTCACATTCACATTGGATAACATCAAGATTGAATTGCTGGACGGCGCCCATGCTGATCTGTTTGAGTTCACTGTCCAGCAGCATCTGTGTTAGTGATGTGGAAAGGTGTTTGCAGGCTGACATACAAGCTGTTTGTGCAACTTTTCCCTGGAAAACACAAATAATGTGACATTACATATTTTGGATGTTCTGACTGGGATAAAGTATCATGTTAATACATTTTTTTTGTCTGATGGAAATGAACAGATGTCCCAAAATAAAAAAAGATTATGTAAAAATGACAAACAATTTTTGTTTCTAAACTAAAAGGACAAAGACAGATCCTCATATTATTTTTATGTATTTTTTGTCTGATTCAAAGTTATGTACAATTCCACAATATGGAACAATGCCATTAAAATATTGTAATATACTCTGCTCAATGACTAATTCTCTGGCCAACCAATTTTTTATAAAGTGAAGGCAGACAACACTAAGTCTTTAAAAATGATCAATGCAGCAATATATTGGGTCAATCCTCCCAAAATTCATATATTTTAGTTTTTAGTAGTCACTGGTGGATTGAACCACTTGACAATTTCCTATCTCTCTTGGATATATCTCTTGGGGCTTCAGACCCTGAGTTCCTAGGTCTGTGGAAATGTTGTGCCTATTATGAGAGGCTCCCACTCTCCATGCTGTATATTTTTACATTGTAGAAAATGCAATAGCAGTTGCTGAAACAAGCAAAGGTGCGCAGAAATTTCTAATACTCTCAGATGGACAAAAACAGAGTTGAGAACTATGGCAGGAAAATCTTGCTGCTGCAATATCTGAGACACAAAAGAAGCCATCGGCTTAACCAGTTCCATATGCTCAATTAATAATTAAGCCAGCTGGCTGAACAAAAAAAAAAATTGATCAGTGTATGACCAACCTTAACCATCCACCGAAACCCAAAAAGAATCAACTATGTTGATTCGAAAGTAAAGTTAATAAGATAGAGGGTAGTGATGAAAAAGAATAAGGATATAAAGAGCCATGAAAAAAGACAGATTGCTGAGAAAAGAAAGTAGGAAGGCAGAAAGTTGGAATGATGGAAGGAAAGAATCAAAGAAAAAAAAAGGGGGGTAGAAAAAAAAAAGTAAAGAATGTGACCTTGCAGGAGGGAAAGTCGAGTTGAGAGCTGATGGCCCTTTAAAAATGGGAGGAACAGTATATACAGTAGATAAGTGGTTGGGTTAGTTGAGAAGCCCATTTTTTTGTTTTGAATGCAGTGGGAAAGGGATATATCCTCACATTTTTTACTGATGTCTGTGTATCTGCTAAAGAGATGTCTCCTTAAGCTGGCCATATGTTGTTCAAATGAGCCTGCTGACTCGGCTGAAATTTAAACTGTGTGTGGCTCTGCTAGCACCACCAGTCGCACCAAACCAGATTAACCAAACCAGATTATTCAACTGACTTTTGTCATTAGAGCCATGTGGAAAATTGTGGGCCAAACAGTCACTGTAGCCAATTAGCAGAAGTTACTATTTGGGTAGTATGACAGCGGCGGGTGCCGTAGGGGTGGTTCCTCCATCCACACTGTAAGTGTATGGTCAGCTTTACTGTCTGAAAACTGGTCACCAGAAGAAGTGGAAAGCTTCCCAACAGAAACACATACGGCAAAAACCGATATCCTAACCTGTCCCCACACTATTCACAATTACACAACACTGGAAGTTCTGGCTAGAATTCCACTTTAAGTGTCACCGAAATACCTTTTATGAGAACATATCAAAGACAATTTGTGGTTTCAATCAAGGTTGTCATAACTTTTAACAGAAGACCGTGTTGCCCTTTGGAAATTCCATAGTTGTGACAACTCTTCTGGTTAAACAAGCTCTGCTAATCTACCATGAGATTCACAATTTTCCAGCTAACATCACAAGTCTACTGCTCACTGAAAGAACTTACTAAAGAATTCTGTGACAACAACAATCCAGAAACAGCAATGGTAATTACATTGTGACACGCCGCACTATCCCCCACACAGAACCGTATCAATACCAGCGGAGAATGGAAGGAGAAAAGAAGAAATCAATGGTCCACAGTTCATTTAATTACAATGTAATATGTTGGAGATACCTAATGGGTATGTCATTTTGATTTAATGGAACAACTAGTGCATTTTAGTTTAATGTACTGCTCCATTAAATAAGCTGTGTCTCCTATTTGCTCTGCAATGATAATGAAATAACTGTACAGGCAGACAAATTGGTTGTCGAGAAAAATTCCAAGGAACATTTTTTTTCTTTCCCAGACAGATACAAAAGTTAAAGTCATTAAAAGAGAAATCAGAAACTTTTAAAGCTGTCAGTGACGTGCTGTAACATCCTGGCCATCTTGGAAGTGGAGGTCTTTGAGAAGCAGAAGGTGATGCTAGCTGTACGTATAGTGATCACACCACTGGGAACCAATGGAATTGCTCATAAATATAATCTATTCACCCTTTATGCATATTGATTTTTACACATCGGGTGATCTCTTCGTTACCACCAATGGTTGTGCCTGCTTACCTCTATTGATCTTCACAGAAATAAATAGCTGAATAGACAATTCCAACCTGATGATCATTTGTGGGCCTCACATTGACCAATTATTGTACATTCCACTATTTTGTAAGCTATCTCTGAGTTCATAGAAGCATCAAGTCCTTTCTGAGAAATCGAATACTTTTGATCTAACAAGGCAGGAGACCTGATTTTTCTCTGCTGCATTTAAGTTACACTTGCAGGTCTTGTCCCTTTCCGAGCCTGTGACTGGACAGTGAAAGGAGAAGCAGCTGACTGATGAGCTCATCTCTGTCACTCAGCTCTCTCTCTCCTCCAACCAGTATGTTCCTTCTTAACCCAAGAGCATTGCAGCACAACTGACTGTCTCCTTGTGTTTCTTCTCTCTTCCAGTCAGAATTCTGCTGTATAGTGGATTGCTGATACCAGGTCAAATGTATGTACTTAATGATGTATTGATGATAACAGGACTGCAGTAAATTGTGTCTTTAATCTCTGCCTGGAGTTCAGCTTTAAGGGAAGGTAGTAGATAGTATTTATCTGTAGATATTATACATTCCCTATATTGTTTCCTTACCCTGAGACTGGTGTTCTATCAAAGTTTGTGACTGCGTTAGAATGTGTGACCGGTGACGTGGTCACACATCTTAACCTAATCCCAGAGGGTTTCGGCAGTGGAATATGTGACCGGCAAAAGGTGAAGAATTCCAGCTGTTTCAGGGCAGATTGGCATCGCAGATCGTATGTGCAGGAGAACCGATCTGCCCTGAAAAAGCTGATCGGTCCTGAAATGTCACTTCTATCCGACTTTGTGACTGTGATCTCATATTCCACAAAGTCGGATATAAGTGACATTTCAGGACCGATCAGCTGTTTCAGGGCAGCTCGGTTATCTTGCACATACCATCTTCGATGCCGATATGCCCTGGAACAGCATAGAAAGCGTTGGAATTCCTCTCCTTTTGCCGGTCACATATTTCAACACGGGCATCTGACTGGCTATATACGTCTTTAGAGATATGCACAAGTCCTAACAGACTGTTCAAAACGCACCCGTCGCAATCTTTGTGTGCTCCGCAAAATATTTTTTGTAGTAATTTGTTATTGCTCAATCCCAAAGAGTTGCTTTTTATCCATAGTGTTTAGTGGTATTCTCTTGTCCAAAGTAGCAACATATACTACCAATTCCACATCTATTACTAGACTATTGTACTCAGCATTTATACCCACCAAATTTGTATTCTGTATCTAAGTCCAGCATCTGTTCATCATCATGGATCCTTGCACTGTTCTGCTGAATATGTCCAATAATGCCAGTACATTTTTATTTGGCTCCAACAGCCGACCACTAGAGAGTTCCCATTCTCTCACTCTCCCTTTTGCTGTATCCTTCTAGCACGACGGCCATTCTGCTAGGTCATCAAGTAGACCTTGTGGCCTCAAGATCCGCATCCGGCACTCGTGCATCCCCTGCCTGAACCTACTGTTCTCAACCCCAGTGGTCATCAGACGGGGTTGCAAGGGAGGTCCTCCTCGTCACTTCGGGCTCACACCACGATCCTAACACCAGTGCAGATATTTCAGTTATGGGAAAACATATATACAGGTGAAACTCGAATAATTAGAATATCATGCAAAAGTAATTGCAGTAATTGCTGCGAAAGGGGCCCAAACCAAGTACTGAGTACATATGCATGCTTATACTTTTCAGAGGTCCGATATTGTTCTATGTACAATCCTTGTTTTATTGATTGAATGTAATATTCTACATTTTTGAGATTGTGGATTTGGGGTTCTTGGGGTTTTCATGAGCTGTAAGCCATAATCATCACAATTATGACAAATCACGGCTTGAACTATATTGCTTTGCATGTAATGAGTCTATATCATATATTAGTTTCACCTTTTAAGTTGCATTAGTGAAATAAATGAACTTTGCACGATATTCTAATTATTCGAGTTTCACTTGTATATAAAAAAAAAAAAGTCAGCACAACCCCTTACCATAACCTGTCCATTAGCCACCTCCTCACACTTAACACTCTATTCAATAAAGTCCTAAAATGTAACCTAAACTATGGGGCTGCCATTGATGGACACTTCCTGGCAAAGGGTCCGCATGACAGCAATCCTACAAGCATTTTCAGAAGAGGTTAGGAGTAGCAGCATCCACGTTTCCCTTATGACAGATTTAATGTATTCCTTTGCCTAACCCTGAAACTTCAATCTTAACACTTAATTTTAGGCATAAAAAGTAACCTAACACTTAACCCCCTTGATTTTTATCTCCTGACCCTGAACACCAAGTCAATCCCTTGAATCCAGGCTTTTCTTCTTCTAGGGGAAAGTCTCGTACCTATATACCAGAACCACTTGGAATCTACGCCTAAAAAGATTGCGATATTGTCTACCCTGTGTCTCTGAATCTCACATTATATCATAGTAAGCCTATGGGAATGTTTATGAATTCTGTTTTAGGCTTTCTTAAATATGCTCAAGTTTTTTTGTTTGTTCTGCATAGAGTTTTGAAGAGTTAGAGCATATGTCAAGTTTTAATCATTGCTTGTGTACAAAGAAAGTCACAGCAAGGGCATTGCAACAACCTGCTTCCCT